ATTCATTGGGAATGTGCAATAAAAAGTGTTATGTATTCAGTGGTCTGTATTGCCTGAGCTAAGGAGTCTGAGCCGCTGTGCTCTGATTAGATACATGATATCCAATCACAGAACATTTCAGGATTTGGGCCTCTGCCATTGGCCCTTAAACTCTGACTTACGATTCGCAGCTTGGAAGTTTAGACAGCCAATCACGTTGGGAGTGGGAGTGGCCCAGGCCTCCAGAAATGTATATAAGCAGTTGCTTTGCCCCCGTTGTCCAGTTCTGTAGTTCAATAAAGGTTCTCGCTGTTATCACTGTCTCGCCTTGTGGGAACCAACCTACATTTCAAAAACGATGTCAGGAGAGGCCCTTTGTTGTGTAATGTGGCCCCCAGGGTGTGAGGCCTAGAACACCCCTTTCCCTTCCCTCTCTTGCACGTGAAATGTGTAGAGGATTCCCTCAGCCCCCCCTGCTCCCCCCGTCTTCCCCTTCAAGTAGACTTCATGTTATAAAATCGTTTTTGTTCACGGACCAGTGAGCACCCCGGCTTGTCAGTATTCAAATTACTACCAGGCTGTTTAGTACCTGTCTAATTAAAGCAGAACTTACTCACTGATGCCTCCAATGCTTAAGCAAATTAAAGCCTAATAGGAAAAGTGATATATCACTTAGACGAGAAGAAAAATTGAATAACTATCGCAACAACCCTCTTTTCTATCTCCTTCCCAACCCTTTCTCTCTGGTTTCTGAGAATTCAGGATGAGAGGGAGGCGCCGTTTTATCTCAGACAAAATTATATACACCAACACAGTCGACGTACTTAAAAAAAGAGAGAGGAAGAAAAAGATAACAGCCTTAAGGAGAAAAATGAAGATCTGAAATAATGTTAGCAGGCCCCATCCGATGCCAAAGTTATGAAAACACCAATTGTTTGAAAGCGAGTGAAGGGTAGTCCAGCAAATCATGGATTGGATGTGGGTTCAGGAATCCTAAACTGAAAGGCCTAAATCAGAGCTTTCCAAATGGTGTGTTGTGACACGTTAGTGTGTCGGCTGCAGTGTGTAGGTGTGTCACGTGAACGCTCCCTGTGCTCCTCCCAGGGTTGGAAAGGGGTTAGTTTAACCTCCGGTTTACTAGTAAAACTGAATTATTTTGTTGCAAAATGACGCATGTCCAAAAAGTGTGTCACTAACATGGCAAGTTTTGGCAAGCTCTAGCCTAAATAGTTAGGATGAACTGTGTGACATCATATGATACATGCGCCTGTGTCTTTTAGAGGGACTGTAACTTCCTGTTTCCTGTTTGCTCTTTCTTTTGCTTTCTGCGTAACTTCCTGTCAGGGGGCACTGGGATCTGAATACAGTGGCCCCATGTGGTTGAGACACTGAACTGCAGCACTTTCTGTTCAAGGGGAAGTGAGGGAACCAGGCTACCACCTGAATGCCTTCACCCCTACAGGTCTGAGACCTCACATGTTCATTTGAGCACCTGAACTGAGGAATGATTACTAAGGTTGATTAAGTCTGTGGTTTAGACGTGCCTGAGCACTGCCCAATGTGAACAAGCATAATGTGGGCTGGTTGCATGATGTCATGGCACAGATGGAGATCTCTTATACAGGGCACCGAAGCAAACCGAGATCACAATTCCTGCCGTTCCTTTCAGCTGAAGGTATTTACAAAGAAGCTGGATGGTCACCCATCAGCTGTAGCTGCTTCCTGCATCACAGATCCAGGATGAAGCTGGGGTTGAACTAGATGTCCTCAAATGTCCCCTCGCAATTGTATGATTCTAGTCTTCTATGAACTCCAAGTGAAGAAGTTTTGATCAGGAGAGCTGCCGATGGGCTATTCCCACTTTGCCTTGGTATTCCCAGCATCCTGTGGCCCAGCTGAATTTCGCGATTGTCTCCGTCACCGTCATTTGCTTCTTGGCTGCTGATAAAAATAGTACATAGAATCTCTCTTTGTTTTCTTCCTATTTTAACAGTTCTCCCAAGCAGAGAAGGGCCTGTTCATCCGCCCTAGACAAAGTGATCACTTGTCTGAGAGAATTGACTTGTTCTATGAAGATTTCCATTATTTTGCCTCTCCTCCTCCAACACTCCATTTTTCCTTCTTCTTCTCCTGACCCGCCGCCTCACGGAATTGTGGCACATTGCCTCCGGCAGAGAATGCTAATGAGCATCTCTTTTCAAGGGTTTATGCATATTCCGCTCTGTGAATCGGTTGGCAAAAGTTGCAGGCGGCGGAGGAGGGGCGGGTGGGCAGGAGGAGCTGCTGTCCGGCTCATTTATTGCGAGGGATGTCCAGGGGGTACAGTGGTAGGACGCCTCTTTCCCTACCCTGAGAGCAAAAGGTCAATGCTTCTGCTCATAGTGCCAGTTCTCCTGTAAAGGAAGGGCTTCCCAAGATGTGTTCAGATTATAAGAGAACTGAAGGGGGACAGTGGATCTGCCAATCCCCCTATTTCGAGGCTGGAAGCTGCGTCCAATGCACTCCTTCCATGAGTGCAAGGATTTCCGAATGCTCCCCACTCCACACGCTCCAACATTTCTCTGATGAAATAGGGACATCCTATTCAATAAATACTGGGACCCGGGTGGCGCTGTGGGTTAAACCACAGAGACTAGGACTTTCTGATCAGAAGGTCGGCGGTTCGAATCCCCGTGATGGGGTGAGCTCCTGTTGCTCGGTCCCTGCTCCTGCCAACCTAGCAGTTCGAAAGCACCTCAAAGTGCAAGTAGATAAATAGGTACCGCTGCGGTGGGAAGGTAAACGGCGTTTCTGTGTGCTGCTCTGGTTCGCCAGAAGCGGCTTAGTCATGCTGGCCACATGACCCGGAAGCTGTACGCCGGCTCCCTCAGCCAATAAAGCAAGATGAGCACCGCAACCCCAGAGTCGGTCACGACTGGACCTAATGGTCAGGGGTCCCTTTACCATTTATTCAATAAATAATAATAATAATAATAATAATAATAATAATTTTTACTATTTATACCCCGTCCATCTGACCTGGTTGCCCCAGCCATTCTGGGCGGCTTCCAACATATATAAAAACATAATAGAACTATATAGGACTGCCTTCAGATGTCTTCTCAAGGTTGTAGAGCTACTCAACTCCTTGGCTCAGACGTAGGATGAGTCCATCCCAGGCTTCATCAAACTCGGCCCTCCAGATGTCTGGGGAACCATCAAGGAGAAAGTTATGTTTGATGGAACAAACTCGCCCCAATTAATGCCAACGCAGTCATTGAAGGCCGAGCCTGGAAACACCTATGAGGTAATGGCAGTTTCCTAACTGTACCCTGTTGTATATTCCGGCGTCTTCTTTGACATCGTTCTGGGAAGGGGACTTCCCAGGAGACATTATTCCATAGACAGATTTCACATATACGGAATATTTCCTTCTGTTCATCCGGAACTTTCTCACCATATTTTCTGCCCCATTTCGTCTGCTTCATCTCCAGGGACGGTTAAAACTTGTCCTCTTCTTCAGCTTATTATGCTCTTGAAATTCAAAGACCTATTCTCCTCCACCCGTTTTCCTCTATCCTTTCTTCCTTTTTATCCACAGGAAAAAGAAGAAGCAAAAGTTGAAGGAGCTTGCTCTTCACCATACAGGACACAAGTGAATCAACAATTTCTGAAAGTTTAGTCATGGAGAATGAGAGATGCAGTGTAGGTGAGGAAACACCTTGGCTTGACCGTTTTGTGTTGCCCTTTGTATAACTGGGACAGAATACTCCTTTCTGCTCAGTGAATCGTTCTATGCCAACTTAAATTGTTCTGTGCTAACTTAAAAGCTAGCTATGACACCCTCGACTGGCAATTTTCAGTTGCATCTGGTGAAGTGGGCTGGTTGTCCATTAAGCCTTATGCCATGACAAATGTGTTAGGCCTTAGGGCGCAACAGCAGTCCCTGATGGTAATCGACAAGACTGTGCCATGGAAAATTCTGGGTTTCCTTGGAAGAGTAGAAGGACTTCCCCAGTGAGAATATCAGCAGTGGACAAGTTTCACTGTCCCCCCTGCAATAATAATAATAATAATAATAATAATACTGGCATATTGCTATTATTGACTAGTGGTCGATTCAGGTCAAAGACAGCACTTATTTGCAGAACCCAAACTTACTTTTCTGGGAGATGACTGCTAGGCTAGGTGACTGTAAAAGGGGATTTGCCCCCCTGAAAGAGAGGATAAAGCCGTCACTAGCTACTAATCATGGTGGCATCATATTCACACCAATCGTGCAATGGGTGGAGAAGGCGAAGGGGCACAAACCAAGACTTTTATCATAGCAGGGGTGATGAAATCATCTGCCAGAGTGCTAGAATAATCGATGGACTCTCCTTGCTCCAGCAAGTGAATGAAGCAATAAGGAGGCTTTCAAGTTTGTTTGTGATAGATCTGCATAGGAGAAGTCACAGAACGTGAAAAATAATGAAACAGGGTTCAGAAACTTCTTTCCCCCTTTTTTTTAAATAATAAAAAATTAGGTTCCTATTTCATACCGACAATTTGAAAGGCAACACTTCTTTGCAAGATTGTTTGCATTTCCGATTAAAACCTAAAGGCTGCATTTCAGCTGGCTAATGATTTTCTGTTATAAAGCCCTGTATGTCTTTAATGTCAAACCTATGCAGTTGAAAGCAAGTCAGCAGCACTGATTTTAATGGAACGGTGCTCCCAGGTAAGCCATACACAGGGTTGCAGTGGTGCTGATCCTAAAAAACTAGGCATTGTGCTATGTACTGCTGCTCTTTGGTGTGTGTGTGTGTGTGAACAATAAGGGATCAACACAGCTGCCTGTGTTTTTTCAGTCTCCTTATGGGAGAGGCTATGGACTCTGCTTGAGGATGTGGCTATATAGGTCCTGCACTTCAACATTTAACACTACACCATTGGTTCAGAGACAGTGTATCAGAATAATATTAGGGAGGAGGTCTGTAGTCTTTCTGTCCTGCTTTTGGGTTTCCTGGAGTCATCTGCTTGGTCACTGTAGGAAGCAGAACGTCAGACCCTCAGTTGGTTAGAGCATGGTGCTGATAACGCCAAGGTTGCAGGTTCGATCCCCATTATGGGACAGCTGCATATTCCTGCATTGCAGGGGGCTGGACTAGATGATCCTCAGGGTCCCTTCCGACTCTACAATTCTACGATTCTATGTTTAAAGCACCATGATACCTCCTTGCTGCCCTTCTGCTGGCAGGTGGAGACCTTTCTATTCCAACAGGCCTTCGAAAACTGACTTTTTGAGGAAAGGGCTGGTCCTGTGATGTTTTTATTGTTGTTGTCTGTATTTAATGGGTTTTTATACTTTTTAAAATTCTCTTAGCATTTAACTGCATTTTAATGATGGCCCTTTCTGGGTTTTTCGCTCGTTGTATTTTACCTGTGTAAGCCACCTGGAGTGCTGGACTGGGGAAAAGATGCAATATGGATAAATATAATGCTAATACTAAACAGTTGTGGCTTTTCCCAAAGAATTCTGAGAGGTGTCGTTTGATAAAGGTGGTCCGGGTTGTTAGGGAACCCCTGTTTTCCTCGCAGTTCCTAGAGTTCCCTGTGAAGACGGATTGATTGTTAAAACACTATGGGAATGGTAGGCTAATGAATCTCAACCCCCTTAACAAACTACAGCTCCCAGAATTCTTCGGGGGAAGCCATGACTGTTTAAAGTGGCATCTGAGATGGGCTCATCGGCACTTTTTCCTCTCACGCCGTTGGGCCCGCTCTCACTCAGATAAATTGCCCCCACCTCACTGAACAACCCTTTCCCCGAAGGTTTCTTTTCCTTTCCTCTTAAAATTCTAGCCCGGAGTATCCTGCGGGTGACCTTTGTGAGGGGATAACGAGTAAGCTGGAGTCTCAGACAGGTTTTCTTTAAATAAACAATAAAGATTTATTTAAGGCAAGATAGTATATAAGACAAATGGGTTAAACTTAGGTTTACTTCAGGAATACAGTGCGATTTCACTTTAATTCGTCCTCAGTTGTTTTTGCGATATAGGTTTGGTTCCTTAATATCAGGCATCCCCAAACTTGGCCCTCCAGATGTTTTGGGACTACCACTCCCATCACCTCTAGCTAACAGGACCAGTGGTCAGGGATGATGGGAACTGTAGTCCCAAAACATCTGTAGGGCTGAGTTTGGGGATGCCTGCTTTATATGGTGATACTTTCTTTCAGTTATCCACCCCCCTTAACACTCCTGCTCCTGGGGTAGTTTAAGTAATAGACCAAAGGGGGTCTGGGGGTTTCTTCTTTTCCTTAGAAGAATCTCTCCCCTCCATACTAGATTTGAGTCCCAAGTAGGCTGTTCCTTTCCATCTCCTACTTCTCCTGGCTCAGCCTCTGCCTCCCAGTAAAATTCAGGTCTATTCCTCCTACAGGACACCACATTCTGTCCTTCATAATACGCTCAGAGTGGAAATGGTTTTTCCAGAACCAACTCTTTCTCCTGTTCACTCTTTATACCTCAACCGGTCTCCCTACCGATCTCTCAACCTCTCCAGCCTCAGTTCCAAACCACCTCAACCAACCCTTTCAGCTCCCACAACAACTGTCTCTCTTCAAATCCTCTCCTTTTAAACTCTCCCTCCTGGAACCACGGCCAGTCAGAGGCTGCCGTTCACTAACCATGTGGTGGCAAGGAAAGAAACACTTGTTGTTCCAACCTGTCCAGCAAAACCAACTTTTTCGTCACAGCATCATAGTGCATTAAATGTACAGTGGTACCTTGGGTTAAGAACTTAATTCGTTCTGGAGGTCCGTTCTTAACCTGAAACTGTTCTTAACCTGAGGTACCACTTTAGCTAATGGGGCCTCCCGCTGCCGCCACTGCGCAATTTCTGTTCTCATCCTGAAGCAAAGTTCTTAACCCGAGGTACTATTTCTGGGTTAGCAGAGTCTGTAACCTGAAGCGTCTGTAACCTGAAGTGTCTGTAACCTGAGGTTTGAATGAGGTGTGACCCAGCAGGGCTCTTCGTAGGTTCTTTGTTTACTGTTGAATAAGAGCGGCCACATGGACCCTGTAATGCGGCTTGAACATGGCAGCTTTAACGTGCAAATCATCCCTCAGACCACAGGGCTCGTTTGTAGTCGGAGCGGACTGAACACAGGCCAAAGGCCTCCTTCCAAGCTCACTGCTCCAGCTGCAAAATAGCTAACCCTTTCTCCTGAGAAATGTGGTTATGCATACACCTGGTCACTTTACTTTACAAGGCCTCATTAAACTCTCCTTTCTCTCCCTCTCTCAGACAGTGCTTTGTAGTGACATGGTGTTAATTCTCTCCTATTAATTGCATAAAACGTAACTAACCTTCAAATGCAGGCCTGGAATCCTGAACCAGTCATTATGCAAATTAAACAGGAATGTGGTAGGGTTCTGAGGTGACGGATAAAGCTTAACAGCAGGTTAGGGCTCATTTTTTCCATAATCTTCTGTTTTATGCCTTTGTTAATGAAGGATAAATGTTTGTGAGTCGTTTCATTTAAGTTCGTTAGATCACCATGCTTCCAGAAATAAAGAGATTAGTTCTTAGACAATGGTCTTTTTCTGTTTGTTAAAACAACAGCAAAAAGGTGCTCCTAGGGTCTCCCCCACACCCTCTCCTGCTCTTGATGGCTTTTTCATTTTCTCAAAAAACATATATATTGGCAGGTGTGTTGGGGCATCTCCAGACCTTCAATATTTTGCAGGAAGGATTCAGGCATATGTTGGGAAATTTAGGGTTGCACAATTAAAGTGGATTAAAGTGTTCTGCTATCCTAGTACAACAAACACACTTCAAAAAAGTTTGTGTTTTTTTGCAGAATATTTGCTGTTAGGAAAGTGACAGGGCAATTTGCTGAGAAGTGTGGAATGAATGAATGATGGACAGGAAGACACATAAGCCCCACTCAAGCAAATCAGGATGCATTCCTTATCATACACCCAGGAAACAAATCAGTATGAATGCTCAGAAATGACTGGCTAGAATCTAAGCTCCACGTGAACTTTGCTTAAGCAAATCAGGATAAATAACAGGTTGATAAACAGGTCAAGTAGAGGAGGATAATTATCTATATCTATCTGTCTACACACGTTGCTGTTATTACAACTTATTACCTGCCTTTCACTCCCACTTCCCAGGGCAAGTTACATCAATTAAAGCACAACATTAAAAACTGTTTAAAACAATGGCCATCTGCTAGGGAGAGTTTAGCTGTGACTCCTGCACTGCCGGGGGTTGGACTAGATGACGTCTGGGGTGACTCCAAACTCTACAATTCTATGATCCTAACTTAAAATTACAGAAATAAGTTTGGGAGGATGAGGAGAACAAGAAATGCTTCGCCTGGGGCCAGAAAAGATGTTGGATTCCATGGTGGTAGGTGAGGGTCTCTAGGAAAAGTGTGCGGAATCGTGGATCAGGAAAGGGCCTTCTCTGTGGCAGCCCCTAAATTGTGCTGTTCCCTCTCTGCCTCTAGCATCTTCCTCCTACAGCGCTCACCTTGTTACCTTGGCCTGTGACCCTTGGGGTACTACTGTATTTCGTTTTGTAGGACTTGCCTCATTCGTTGAATTCATATTGTGCTTTCCCATTTGGAATGGTGTTGTGTGTTTTGGTATAATTTTTATTTGTTTCTATAGTTGTATATTCTGTTGTTGCAACCTGCGCTAGGACCTTATGGTGAAGGGCGGGTAAGAAATCTTATAAATAATCGTTTTGCAGCTCATAGTCCAGATCTGGCCTCAACTTTATAGCTTTAGGCAGTTGGTCAAGGCATATCTTTCAGAGGGCATTTGAGGAAGAAATAGCTTATTTCTGCTGTTGCTAGTAGCAACTGTCATTTAGTGATCTGTTGTTGTTGTTGTTGTTGTTGTTGTTGTTGTTGTTGTTGTTGTTGCTTTTAATGAACTTTATGTACTTTATGTTACTTGTTTTTATTATTCTTAAAAACCACCCTTTGCAAAGGATGGCATATAAACCATCTAAATAAAATATTTGGATTTTGCAACAGGTTTCTTGTGCATTTCAGAAGGTGAGGGGCCAGACTGAGATTTTAAGTGTGTATGAAATTAAGGTGCTAGAGAGGAGACCCCCCCGCCACACTCATGTGCTGTAAGATACTTTCTGTTTGTTAATTTACTTTGTGGTTTCTCATGTGGAATTTGGCACAGCCTGACTGTGCAGATGCTATCGGTGGTTTAGATAAACAGCATCACCTCAGACACCAGATGTTCCGATCCATTCGAGATTCTTGCCAGTCGGTAATCCACATTCCATTAGGACCTGCAGCCCTCCATTGCCATTTAGGCCAATTGCATGTTTAATTTTCAAGTTCCGACCCTCCCCAGGAACCATCCATTTCCAACTGCGTTCCTTCTTCCTAACTCACTGTGAGCCAGAATTCCCAAAGAATGCACCTCAGATCTCCAAAGTGTATTACCTTAATATTTACAGATCACATCCAGCTCATCTTCCTGGTTAAGGCGTGATGGGGAGGAGGCAGAAAATACTGGCCAAGAAAACCCTCCAAGGTTTATGCTTACAGAAGCCAGGCAGCAGATGTGCTATCCAAACATCAGCAAGCAATTAGCAGAGCCCATATCCAGAAGAAGCCAGCAGGTAGCTGTTGCAAATCCTCTGCCAGAACAGATATGTTGCATAGCCTTCCCAGTCTGGTTGCCCTCCAGATGTCTTGGGCTACCAACCAGTATTGGTTTGAGAGTGCTGATGTTCTTGTGTCCTGCTCTTGGGCTTCCTTGAGGCATCTGATTGGCCCCTGTAGGAATCAGAATTCCAGAATATACCAGCCTCTGGATTCACCCAACAGGGCTCTATGGATGTTCTTTTGCTCTTCTCTCCCCCCAATATTATTCTTTCTCTTTAGGTGTGATGGCCTTGGCGTGGTGCATTGCTGTTCTTTTCTTTATATCCTGGAAGCCCCTGCAAGCCTATTCATGCGGCATATAAACTCAGGCTTCGTAAGGTAAATGTTGCGCGCTTATAACAGAGGCTTTTATTCAGAGGTGCCCCGGCGCTTCTTGCATACTGTGTTTTCATTACAGCCTTTTGATTGTCTTAAAGTGCATTTTT